GAAAATGAAAGTCGTATGAATAATGTAAAAGGAGAAAAGGAAAGGCATGAATTATTTTATAGCTTTGGAATTGAACATTTTCCTTTTTTTTGTCTTAAAAAGATGTATTCTATTAATTTTATTCCATTCGCTATGAAGTCAGAATTAAATAAAGCTTAGTTTTTAAATTATTGACAAATACGGTTATATTTGGATCTATTGAACACCGTCAGAAAGTTTTTTTATAAGGTTTATGGCTCAACAGTTTTTCAAAACATTATTTCTACCACAAAAACATTCTAATAAATTGTCCTGTCCAGGCTATTTTTTATTTGTTTTTGTACATATGGCTCAAGTTTTTGTAGTAGTTTACATCTTGTTCCACTAACTTTATTAGAATTCACCTTTACAGGGACTGTTCTGTTGTTTAAAAAATGTATTTATTTTAAGTTTAACCTGACTATTTTTATTCGGTTTCTTTGTTTTGTTTTCCCTTTACCAGTGGTTATGCAATATCCCAGAAGAGGCTTTAAATATAGACAAAGGGGCTTTTTAACAATTGACTTTGACCATAAAGGACCACTTTAAGGTGGCACAAAAGTTTAACAGTCATTTAACTCACTACTTACTATCAGGTAAAACACACAGCAGTCTAATTATCTCTAAATACAAAGTGACATCAACACGAGAGCAGCAGAATGAATGCTGTTACAAGCTTATAGGATTAGAGGCTCCGATACAAACACATCTGTGTAATCCTTAACTAATCTAGCATAATCTCATCAGTAATGATATCCTGCAGCACAATGACACACATTTTCTTCTTACTGCTTTTTCATTTTATGAGTCATATACCTGCAGTAGAAACTTAGCAAGTTGAAGCCTCTAATGGTAGAGACCTATCAGCCCCATGTTTTTTATCTACCAATTTTTCAGCTCCAGAATCAGTCTGAGCTCCGTGCTCCCACCCCAGAGAAGGCAGCCTGGTTCCTGGATGCAGCCATCGCAGCTCGCCACAGCAGCCAGCAGCCCAACACCACAGAGGAGGAACACAGGAACTCTCATATGCTCTTCACATTGCACATATACCAGTACCGCATGGAAAAGACAGGCAAAGGAGGGAGTAAGTACTCTGTCCTAAAAGACTGTTATTACTACTGAACTTTATTTTGCTGCTGTAGTCTGCTCAGTTCCTTGAAAAACTATTTTGCACTGAAATTTGATTTTCAGATCTTTCTGTCCAAAGTATGTCACTGTGTGATCTATTAATAATTATTCAGTGCTTAACATAACAGTTTGATAACACAATCACACTGCACCTGGCATGTGACTGTGAGTCTGACACTTCTGCTGCACAAATGGGGATGTGTGTATATGTGTACTAGTACCACTGATCTCTATTTATTCATTGGGTTGCTGATTGCCTGAAAAAAGTGAAGCCACCGTCCGACATGCTGGTACTCCCCACTCCCTCGGAGACATGCAGTAAAAATCCCTATATGTGTAGCATTTGGCTGCACAAACAAGCAGTTTGCCAGCTGTGGCAAGATGTTCCACGGGTAATTTCACAGTCAGTGTATTTAATAACCAAGGAAATCCACATATATACCAATGTATCCTATAGTAGAGCGTGTAGCGTAACATTAGTCTGGCTATCTCAGACTGAGACGAAGATACTGACTAAATTAGCTATTGACGTTGTGTCTAATGTAAGATAATAGAAAGTAGAGTAAATAGAAAGTAATACTGTGAAATGTCAATGTAGTAATTCATTATCAAGCTGATGACACTGTCGTTTTTGTAGTGTTGCATTTCTCATTTAAAAAAGTCAATATATTGCATGTTATATTGACAAACAAAGCAACTCAACTATATATATATATATATATATATATATATATTATTTTTTATTTTTTATTTAATAACTACATTTATATTAAATGTATATAATCAATTTAGCACTTTTGGCATATCTGTATTATTATGCTCGATTAACACATTCATTCTTTTGTGATGGATTTGTATGAAATGTTACATTACATGACTTAGAGACTTCATTGACTTTATAATGACTATGCAATGTGATGTGCCTATTTTTTTATTAGAAGTTAAAGTGATCTACTTATGCAATGAAACCAAAAGTGTCTTAAAGTGATGAATTTATCTTTATTTTAAAAGTCCTAAGTCCCCCTGAAAATGAAAACATAATTGTTATTCGATGCTGTAGTGCACATACTGTTTATATTACAACAGCTCTAACAAGGTACCAATATGGCGGCTGGCAGCTTCACTTCAACCCCATACTACCAACGGTCAATCAGCAATCCAGTGATTAAATGGAGATCAGTGACTAGTACTTGCTGCAAAGCAAGGTGTTTTTTGCACATTTTACTAGTTAAGGACTCTGATATAAATTGAGAACATTTTACTAGTTCTCACATTGTAATCTTAGGTTTAGAACTAAGGTGTGATTTAGGTTTAGGTTAGCATGAGGTATGTACCAGTAATGGTTAGGTTTAGGCTTACTAACATGGTTAGGCTGCAGAAATAGAGAAAATGAATGGAAGTTAATGGCAGTGTATGAAAGGCCCCTACTCTCTATTTAAAGTTGTAAGGAAGTCATATTTAAATTTCAAGTCATTCTGGCTTAAACATGTATATAAATGTACTCTTTATCAGACCATATTGTCCCAAAAGTTAGAAAATTTCTATATATAAAAAAAAAAATTATAATTTTTTTTCTTTGTTATTTTATGCAGGCCAGTTAGTTATACGTCAGCTTGTACGTCTAAATTCGGCCAATCATATATCAAAGGTCATCTGTCAATCAACTTTTTCGGTAATAGCATCTTGATTCATATGTTGCAGCTAATATACGCAACGGTTGAAATAAGAATCATTTACGGAGGAGACTCATCCACGACCTCCGACACAAAACTCTCCTCCTCTTTCATATTTCTGCTGTCCATAGCGTTCCTGGACAGTGTTGTTTCTAATTCACCAATTTAGTGCTACTTGGTCCCAATGTAATTTCCCATTGGGAACCTACTAGCACTAAGTTGCTAACTGGTTAGCAAGATGCTTCCTACAAACCGGCCACAACCAAACTTGCTTGCAAACCTTCTGCCACAACAATCCCGCCCCCTTGATAATCAACCAATCACATTCACTTCATTCACTCGTGTAAAGTTGGGCACCACTAGGGAGAATTCGGAAGTGCACTACTACAATGCACATGTGTATTGTTTTGCAGCTTCACTGTCAGACCGACCACATTGCTGTCCACAAAAGCAGCTCCCTTTACCTGTGATGCCATCCATGGGGGCTTTCTTTCTATATATTATTTCTCTCCTTATAAACTCTGTGTCAGTTTAAAACAAGAATCAAACTCTGACCACCTCTATGCCGATGTAAAGAACACTTCAGAATAGGTCAATGTGTTCTTCTTCGGTGTTTTTAGCTGCATGTTTTGGCTGAAACCAAGCTTTCTGACAATTTGCAGCATATTTGTCCAGAATCCATTGATAGTCTTGAGATTTGATTGAACCCTGCAGAGATTCAAGACACTGTGTCTGATATAAACACAGAGAGCTATTATTGATTCAACATATACTTGAGCAATATAAATTCTTTAGTCTTTTTGCCCACTTCAAATAGGAATACCAGTATTGCTGTTTGGCTACAGGGAGAGCTTTTTCAGGGTCTTTATGGCTGCAGGAATAGGAACTCATCATCCCTTGCATCCTTGTCAGCATGCTTTCTAGTATGTATATTTTAATGCTAACCAGCAGTTCTGAGGGTTTAGCTCTCCTTAGCTTCCTTTAAGGCACTGATATATTTAGTCTCTTTCTTTGTCAGTGGTTAATTGCCTGTGATTTGTTTTTGCCCTAAAAGGCACAGTTTTTTGGTCTATTTGGTTTTCAAAATCGAATGGTTGGTGTCACACTGTGCTGATACTTTCAGGATCTTTTTTCTAATATCCAGTTTAACTGGTAATCTATGAATGAGTTAAAATTGTTGAAAACGATGAGGTCACAGCACAGAGCCCTGTAGCCCTCCTTTGCTAATGGTAACGATGCAGAATTGACCATTCAACCTGACCGTTTCAGTCAAAGATGGAAGAAGAGAGATGTGAACATTAAGATATTGGTTGTCCAATATTAATATAACATAAACGTGTCTAATTCAATTAATTAAAACATCAAAACATTTAAATTCAGTTATTGTATTATTTCTAGGACAACATTGTCACCTTTGTTTGTCACTGTTCTCTGTCTGCTTTTACCATTGAACTGTTTTTCACATATTTTAGTGTCCGGAGGTCGTAGTCGCCTTCATCTACTGGACCTGGGAAGCTGTGATGTTAAAGTACTCGGAGGAGGAGGTGGAAAAAGCAAAGAGAACTCTTCACCAAGCTCAGCTCCTCTGTGTCTTTCTCTGTCTGCTCTTGGAAACGTGATCCTGGCCCTGGTCAATGGGAGCAAGCACATTCCATACAAGTAGGTTTCTGTGCTAAAATAAATTGATTGGAAACTGAAGAGGAGAAAAGAAGAGGGAAAATTAGCAAATGTGTGAGATAAATGTGGTGAAGAGCGAGGTACGAGTAGGAGGGATGAGAGATGAGAGGAAATCGGAGAGCAGTTTTCTTTTGGTGCTTCAGGTTTGGAGGAACTTAACGTTTTAAACAACAACAGATGCTGTTCCATATTCATGAGTTAAAATGTTCTGATTTACAGACTGGCACGGAATGTAGACATAAAAAAAAATCCAGCTAAAAGCTATTTAGAAAAAAGACAGATAAGGGGGAAATAAAGAAAAATGTTAAGCATGCAAAAAGAGGATTAACATAAAATGAAAGACATTACTGACTTTTGAATGACTTTAAATCACAATAAAATACCTTATATCCAAAGGAAAGGATAAATATAAGAAGAAAAAACAAATAAATAATCTAACATAGATATTTTCCTAACTGTTGAGCAAAAATAAAAAGAGGGAATTATTAATAAATACAAATAACTGCATAAAGAAAAACGGTCAAAAAGCGAATTAAATTAGCATTTTTATGTATTGCTGACAGAGGCAGTGTAAATATGAAGCCATAAATATCCATCTTTTTCCTTAGTTGAACTCTTTATTCTCTTCCTTATATCTCTCCACCTATTTTAAAGCTGCATAACTCTGTGTTCTTTGCTTGGTTAACAACACAATCTATTGCTTACATAACCATTTAGGATGCACATAGATCTCTGTCTTGTGACTCAGACCCTTCTTGGCATGGAAGGGGGATTAGTTTCAAGGGCATGAATCATATTTGCAACTACTCCTTTTCAACTGTGTCCACCCTTGTAGCTCATGATAGCTGAATTCATTTTCTTGATGTAGTGAAATATGTAAAACAAAAACCACCAAAGAAAGAAAGCAAATCCAAAGCTGCTAAAAAGAAACGAACGTGTGATGACCTTAGATGAAGAACATCAGAAATCAAACTCAGACGTCCATCCCCTGTGTCCACGTCAAAAGCAGTGAACACAGTCTCTCACTTGATTTTAAGAACATTAGGTGAAGATTTAGATGTTATCAGGCAGCAGCTGCAGAAAACTGTCACATACAAATGCAGAAACAATCTGAAAGTACATAAGCATACTTTTAAATAATATGGCAGCGTGTAGAACAGTCACGGTTAACTTGAACTATTCTGTAAGGGTTTGCAACTCTTACAGAAGGTGCATATTTAATAACATCACTAACAATAAAATCAACTATAACAACTTCGTAGATAAAATCAACAAAAATATTGCCATGTTTAATGCTCCTTATCCTGGTGAGCTGCTGCTCAGACAGGCTACTGCTGATGTTTTCTGAATCCTAAAGAGGAAAGCAGCCACCCCGGATTAGATTACAGGAAAGGTTCCGGTGTTCTCAGCCTTTCTAGCCCAGGTTGCAGTGGGACCATCAGGCCTCAAAACCCGAACAGCACCTTTACCAAAAAAGCCCACTGTCCCTTCACGACTACCGCCTAGTTGCACTCCTATCGCCATAAAGTGCTTTAAAAAGGCTAGCAAGGGATTATAGCCTCCCCACATTTGATCCATAACAGTTAGCCTACTGCTTCCACCACCCTACAATTGATGTTGTTTGCTTTGCAATACACTGAGGTGGCAAGTCCCCAAATAAACAAACACTATGAACAGATGTTGTTGCTGGACTTCATTGACTAAAATCATCCTACAGCACCTTGTGAGCAGACTGGATACTTCATGAGCTTTCCTTGAAGTCGAAGCCGGGGGACAGGAACTTCTCTAGTTTTATTTCTCTCAGCACTTGTTACAATGAAAGTGCTTAAATTTGCATCTGTTCACATTGATGAGACCACTGTTGTCCATTTACCGGCCACTATGTTGAAGGATGACACAACAGTAGTGGAACTTATCCCCGATGATCATGACACTCGCTACAGTAAGCAGAAGAAACACCTGCAGGCCTTTAGCATCACCTACAAAATCCTGAGTGTTAAAAAGATGAAGCAGTGAAAGTTCACTTCAGGAGGAGTCTCCCGACCTCCACACAAGCAGATTCACAATTTTACAAAAAGACACTGTCTTTCTAGTGCCCAGAATTTATCCTAAGAGGCCCCCCAACCACACCACAAACTGTTCCCATTTCTGAGAGATCTAATCCAACATGTTCAGCTCTTGAATTAATATTCAAATGAATACTTCATGAGTCATGAGTTTACCTACATTAATCTCAGGAAGCTATATAGAGATAGAGGCAGATTTAGATAAAGAAAGAAGGGCTTGTTTAAGCCTGAGGCAGAAGAGAATAGAAAGAAAGCAGTGATGAAATAGAGGAGGTCAGAACAGCAGTGTGTTCATGCTTAGTGTGTGCATATTATTGCATGCATGACTGCAGGGTGTGTTTTTTTACAAAAAAGGACAACAGCATGAGTTAACGGGACACAGAGGAGCTGTGTTCTGTCAACCTTCAGGTTTTAAGCACACTCACACACAGATCTAAGCAAGAAATTATCGCAGTGGGCCACCCATGAAAAAGTATTTCATTAAACACACAGCCTAGATTTACTCCTTTCCATATGGTAATATAAACCTCTCTGGGAGCTAGAGCAAATTTCAATATTAAACTTTATCCCTAAAAGGCGTTGTGTAGAAAAGGTACTCTGGTAAGATGAGAAAAAAATAAATTTTATTTTATCTGATATCTAAAAAAGTTTAGCAGATGATAAACACTGTATTTCATCCTTAACAGGCACTGTTCCCTTTGCAAAAGATAGTTGGATATGTTTTTCTGCAGCAGGGGCATCAAAGCTGTTCAAAAGTGATGGATGTGAAATACAGGACTATACTGGAAAAAAAGAAACTCTGGTAAAAGCTGCAGAAAACTTGAAGCTGGGTTAAAAGTTAATCTTTCAGCATAAAAAATATCCTAAGCATACAGTCAGAGTTACAATAATGGAAGTATAGACATGATTAAAATGGTTCAGTCAAACCTCAGACGCAAGTACAAAACATTAAAGATGCTCTTCATTTACTCTATCTTAGCCTGAGCTGGTTTTTAAACAACAGTGGTCCAAAATAAAAAACTAAAGAAAAAAGACCAGGGCCCATATTCACATAGGATCCTAAACCCAGAAGTAGCTTTTAGCTGCATCATTTTAAGAAATATCTTATCTAATCCTGAAGTGATCAAATGTTGAAAGTGTAAGAATGACTTTTAGCAAGGCTAAAGATGTCCTAATGTGGATGCACTGTGTATACTGTATATACCCTCTAGGGGTGTAAATCCCACCCATGATGGCGATTCGATTCAGTATCAATTTTCTGACCCGATTCGATTCTTTTCGATACTCAGGAATACACCACGATTTGATTCCATTGATTGGTTGATTTATTTTTTTTACGTTACAGGCTAGACACTGTTTAAAATTTGAAATAAATAATTGAAAGCTGTAATATCGTTATGCAATTTATTTGAGAAACAACAGCAAATAACAGAATTCACAAAGTTGTACTCCACCTACTGTAGGCCTCTGAAAACCTCATTTAATGAAAAATAATAAAGCCTCTGTTATAGATTCTGAAAGGCCTTGCATCAAAAAATACTGCAAGCGGAAAGAGGGTAGTGGCTAAAGGAAGTGAGGTAGGAGGGCAAAATTGGTTTAGCGGCACCGTAGCATGGGAGTCAGAGTTACGTCCAGGAGCAAATGGAAAAAAAATAGACCGGACGGGAAAAAAAACAACATGAATCGATACTCTTGCAAACGTGTCGATGCATCGGATCGTCGGCTGTTGGATTGATGCAACGATACAAAACAATTATTATTTACACCCCTAATACCCTCATCCACCTTTTCCTCCTCCTCTTGGGTAAATTTCTCCACTGTGAGATCAATAAAGTCGATCAATCAATACAGACGACTCAGCAAGCTTTTATATTAACGTCACA